AACTATATTTACTATTACTATATAGTATATAATATAAATAGTAAACTATTACAGTATTAGCAAGTTAACACTGTGAAGAATTTTCTGGCCCTAAGGCCAACTGGCACAGTCTGGCAACATCCCAGCGTTCAAAACAAGGTGATCTTATCCAAACTGACTTTTCGGAAGGGCCTCTGGGCTTGTGCTAACTTGTGTGGAAAATAATCAGGTATTTCTACGATTAGTCTAGTTGAACAAGGCCAAAGATAAGCCAGGGGCTTATTTTTAGCCTAAAGTCCTACCTGTAGTATAGTTAACCAAGTTCAAGCAGTTGGGCCCATGTCCTACCACTAAGCAGTTTACTAGAGAGACAACACCAATAAGTTAGAAACCGCACGTGTACAAGAAAATAATTTTCTATGCCTTTTCAGACGCCAACAAGCACAGAGAAGTCAAGAAAATAGCTATAGAGAAAACCCTAACAGGTTTATTAACCAATAAGCTGCAAGTCTTCTGACAGTAGGTGTAAGGTAAAATAACACAGTCTCAGCAAAAAGACAAGGCTACTGGAAAAGGATGGAGGAACAGGGAGCATGCCTCAGTGGTTATGTGCAGAACAGATACACAACAGAAGCATTCCATACAAGTGCACTTGAGGCAAGAAATTCCAATGAATTCCAATTCTTCCAAGGCCTGGAAGATGCGCACATGCTGTACAAAGTAGAATATTTGGACAAATAAGTACACAAAAAGAGAATCGTATATACAATGCATGTGATATCAAAACAGTTAAAAACCTCAAAACTTGTCAGAAACTTCTGTGGACAGCATTGAACAGTCTTTAGGCACTCAAAACCTGCACAAGGGTAACAGAAAAAGGAAAGGCTAGAATAAATAGATGAAGTTCACTTCAGATTAAGGTACTGACATACATACTGGCTTTGAGAACGAGATCAGTGGCCTGCTGCTGTAAGCGCTCTCTAGCAGCTGCTAGCTCACTTTCCACTTCTTTATGTTTACTTAACAATGACATCTCCTCCTCCTTCACATCATCTAGCTGTTTTTGGAGAACCTAGAGGAAGAACAGTATAATGACTGTTATCATTATATAAAATCATGTTTAAATTTAAATAATCATTAGGTTAAAGTGTACAGAAAAGACCCTTCAGCAAATTTGATTCATACAAAAACTGAAATCTTGTAATATTACCATAATTATAATGGTATTACATATAAATAATTACCATAATATTCCTTTTGTGTCTCCAGGAAAACGAGGCTCCACCATGCGTAACTGTTACTCGGGAAGACAAATGCCATCACTCCAAATGTCCTCCCCTTCCTTCCACCCCCAGCTTTTATTGCAGAATGTGACATCATATGGTACAGAATATCCTTTTGGTCAGTTGTCCCAGCTGTGTCCCCTTCCAGCCTCTTGCCCATCCCTAGCCGACTCACTGGCAGGGTCATTTGAGAAAGAGAAAAGGCCTTGGCTCTGTGCAAGCACTGCTCAGCAGTAACGAAAACATCCCTGTGTTATCAGCACTGTTTTCAGCACAAATCCAAACCATAGCCCCACACAAGCTACTGTGTAGAAAATTATCCCAGCCAAAACCAGTACATACTGAAAATGTGTGCAGTATTTCAGTTACTGCTTGTGAAAACATCATTGAAGATGTTATAATAAAAGGAGTTAAAACATTGAGAAAGTCGTCTTTTTTTCTGAACACCCAACATGTTTAAGCAAGGTAGTCACTAATGATCTCTACAAGCAAGACTGCACTGAATACAGAATGTTCATTGTATTTATAGAGTCAGTTGTATGACATTTCTGTCAAATGCATTTCTGCAAGAAACTGTACAGTCTAGGTAAGTGGTTTCTCAACTTTTCTAGCAAGCATTTCGGTTTGTCAGCATAACATCAAATGGTACCAGTTACCAACATACTCCTTCCCTCTCTGAATTTTTTTGGGGGGCGGGGAGAGGGGGGGATATCAATTATATGTGGAGACCTGATGCAAAGATATTGCTTAGTGCTTCCCCCCCCCCCACCCCCCCCTTTGTGTTCTGTTCCCCCCCCCCCCCCCGCCTCCCCCTTTTGTCTTCTTTCTTTGGGAGGAGGGGAACAGAGTTTGGTTTGGGGTTTTCTGTCTGTTCTTTAAGTTTTAAAAGTTTTGAGTATTCTATTGAATATATTGCATTTTGGGTAGTATAACTAGAACAAAAAGTTCTGTTCATGAACAGCTGAAAGGAAGGAGACTAAAACCTTCCCCTGGGTAGGGGCTTCTAGATTCTACTGGAATATAAAGCAGTATTAATTCAGTCTGGGAAAATTAAACACAAAATAAATTTTAAAATGTAAATAATAAAAAAAAAATTCAGAAAGATGATAATTAAGTATAAGTGACAGAAAATTACGTTTATATATTCCAGTCACTTGAACTTACCAGCCTCATGGAAAGACAGCATAAATAGGAAAAGAAAATTCACAGTCTTGGGAACAACATAGCATCACTCTCACCTGAACATTGTTTTCTGCTGTACCAAGAGCCACCTGAAGTTTTTGGCATTTTTCCCGTAGACTGGCAGCTTCATCCTGGACCATTTGCAATTCAGTTTTAAGCTTTCCCAGATTCTTCCGTAACATACTTTCCTGGTTTTGAAATTCTTTTCTTAGCTCCACTTCTTTTTCTTTGCAAGCATGTAGACTTTCTGCTGTAAAAAGCTGTGATCTTTTCAAAGAATCAAGTTCATGTTCATAGAAGGACTGTGCTTTGCTGAGTTTGCCTTCATAGTCTTCGATGAGTTTTTTTCTTTCCAACCGTAACTCTTCAACTTTACTGTTCAAGTCTTCTAGCTCCAGTCTATGCAATTCCTCTAGTTTTTCTTGCCCCTTACTTAAAGTAGCATTCTGACTCTGTTGAGTCTTCAGAAGTTCTTGAATCTCAAGCCTGTGGGCAGCTCTCAAATCTTCCAGAGCTGTACGTTTGTCCTTCTCATACTGCACTTGCAACTGTATGAAACTTCGTAGCCTTTCCTCAAATTTCTTTCTGATCTCTTCTACTTCTCTTGACATGGTGACTACACGTTGGACATGCTGAGCTTCTGCACAAAGCTGCATGTCTTCTACTCTATCCTTATAGGCTTCAAATTCTGTCAAGGCCTGATGTTTCATCTTTTTATGATCTTCCAGTGACTCTTCTAAAACCTGGATCTTTCTCTTGAGATCCATTTCTTCTGCAACTTTACTTTTATATTGCAAGATCTTTTCTCTGGTCTCTGCAAGAATTTGTTGAATTTCTTCTTCATGAGCATCTTTAAGGGCTTGGATAGCAGCTTCATGTTCATCATTTTTAGTGTTCAAAGCATATATTACCTACAAAGATGGAATAACATTATATTAGAGAAAAGGCATTCTGGTTATCCATTAAATCATAAGAAAAAAAGACGTAGACACTCTGAAAGTTACTTTGACAATCTGGCACATTTTCATGATACAAATAAGACACCAAATATTATTATGAATGTGACTGCATAAATGCTGTATTAGTGATGACAACCTTGTGCATCTTGTAGAATGGTTTTCCAAAACTTTTTAACCTGTAATTTTCCTGACAAATGTTTTGCCTTTCTATGTGTGTTGTTGCTGTAAATACCACTGGGAAAGAAGCACATTCAACACACTGAAAAACAAAACATTTCTTTAAAAGAATTAAAAGCACAGCCTAAAATGAAATTTGAACAAAGGTTTTGTGTTGGAGAATAACACACACAGTATACATTACAACGTGGTATTAAATTGGAACAAAATCCAAATCTCAAACTCCTCCTTTCCCACATGGTAGGTTGTCTTTTCCATTTTTAACTAGGAAGTACTCTCACTGTGTGCATATCAGTGAATAAACTATTAATGCAATAAGTGGTTTTAATACAATATTTTGTGCTCCAAGAACTCCAGCAAATCCCCACACTTCCCAGGTATGTTACAGGCAGCAGAGCTACAAAATACATCTGACTAGAAAAAAAAAAAGTCTTCTGATTAGTATATTTTGTATATCTTAAAAATGAACAAGAAGCAACAAAAATGGACAACAAAGCAGCAGAGAATTTCGAAAAAAGCTGCCCTTTACGGATTTACTTTATTTATTTTTGTGAGTACAGAACCTGGAGCAGTCCTCCGTTAGCATTCAACCAGGCCAATGGAGGAAGATTGCACTGACTTGCCCTCAGGGCCAGGAAAGGCAGCCCAGAATCGCTCTCCTGGCAGTAAGCACAGAGCCTCTATGTTCTGGACTGGAGAGTGTCTACAATCAAGTGTTCGGACAAGTTACAAAGCTCAAAAGAGTCCTCATATGTGAAAAAAGCAGATTCAAGATTTTGGCTATGTAATATAACAAGTTCTGGGGGTTTTGGTTTTTTTGGGGGTTGGTTTGTTCGTTGGTTGGGGTTTTTTTTTTTCTGTTTTT